TAAGAGAGCCTGCAAATCTTGTACTTCATTCGAAAGGCTTATGCCTAACTTATCTACATTTCTTACTTTGGATTCTTAAACATGTATATGAACCAACTAGAGTGGAAGTTTTACCTAAAATTTGTTCACTCCTTATATTGGCGATGTAACACTGAACAATAAGACCTCCAAATGAATGTCCAAGCAACACTGGTGGCAACGTTACTTTTTTCATTATGAAGTCAGCAACATCTGCTGCGTGTGTCTACTGCAGTAAAGAGTACATAAGAAATGAATTCCATCAAAAATGAAATAAGGCAAGAAGATCCTAAAATGAGGTAATAGAAGGAGTGGAGAGCTAAATACCTGAAATGAACCTGCAACTGGACCAGCAGGTGCATCACTTTCACCCTGATTATGTAGAGAAGTATGCCAAACAAGGATTAAAATTTAAGTTCAATGGATAAGGATACTTTAAAACCAGGAAAAGTATCAAAACTGTTACGTAACCAAAATATTAGCTATGTAGGATCAATAATCAAAATACATATATGAATCTGTAACTTTGATTTTCAGCATACACAATATAAAACTGTCAAAATCATATTTACAGACCTTCCTCCCAAAGGTGTCCTTTATTTTGGCTAGGAAAGTCCTAAGTTTTAAATCACAAAAAAAAAAAAAAAAAAAAAAATCAAATATTACAGTGAAGCTCATTACATGCCTAAAAGCAACACGCGTTTAGAAAAGGGAAAGCACTCCTAGCAACTAACACAAAATATAATCTATTAAGTAGATCTAATTAAGACCATAGATAGGCTAACAAAAAACACAAACTGACCAAATGGAACACTGCTAAGGCTATCTCTTATTCATTCCTCCTGTTAAAAAACACTTCTGAAATATAGAGTTTCAGTCTCCATGGTCCTCGAAACATATCGAATTATGGGAATGATACAGTGTAATTTCATAAAGTAATTGTGTCCTGATCTCTTGATTCTTGTCTTTTAAATGTCTACAAGCCTGTGATCTTGAAAACAACTTCTGAAATATAGAGTTTCAGTCTTCAGTCATCTGGCATGGCACAATATATAGTCACAAAGTTGCCAATTATTTGCAAGTCAATACAGATGCCGATGAGTCAATGAAGAAATTTGTTTTGGCATCTGTTGGAAAAAAATGGAGAGAGTGGAAGGCTAGAGTTAAACAAATGGGGTATACGCCATTCGACAACGATGCTGATAGGTTAACTCATCAACCCGAAAGAGTACATGAGCATCAATGGCGAAGCTTAGTCTATTATTGGGGCACTCGGAAGGCACAGGTATTATTTAAATTGTTTATTGATCTCTATCATAATCTCATAAGATGAGTTTGTTAAATTAATAAATTATCTTGTGTTTATGTTCATATGTAACAGAAAAAAAGTACAAAAAACAAAGAAATTCGGAAGAAGAAGACATTAAATCACATAACTGGCAGAAAACCATTCTCAGTTGTTCGAGTAGAGGTATATAGTTTCTTTATATTTCAAATTGAAATTGTATATTTTGATTTTGTTACTTAATTTTAAGTGTAATTGTAGGAAACTAATAAGAAGAATGGAGTTCTTGCAACTCGCTTAGAGGTGTGGATGGCTGGGTACTCGAAGGATAACAAACCAAGTAATGATAAAGTTGCTGAGGTCATGGTATGTAGCACCATAATTATAATAATGCATTTTGCAGAACATTGACAGCTATGATTAGTTTGAGAAATCATTTCAAGTGCTCACTCTAGAGACTAAGTGAAGCACTGGATTCAAGATGTTTATGATATCAACCCAAGTAATTTTGAACTCTTATTGAATTAAAGACATAAATCTACTACTAACATATATATAAGGTAGTTGGTAATTATTTTTGGTTGGTGTATTTATTGATGAGGATGATAATTTGTGCTTTGCAATTGTTTAAATTTTACTGGTAGTTTGTTTGGTTTTAATCAGTAAATCACAAGTAACAATCCACTTACTCCAAACCAATCGGGCAAATATCACAATTCTATAGAAGACTATATATACCTTTCTACATAGGCACACAAGTGTGAGTTGAATCATAGAGACTATGAACAGATTTGATGTAGAAACTACCTGATGAATAAAGTAGAAATCTAAACTTGAAGAGAGACAAAGTAGATTGTTAAATTTGATAGAGAGTTACCTTTAACAGTGCCTGCAAATTGGAAGTGTGAATTAACTAATTATGTCTTGCTCGTAGGCTGAATTTTATTGGTGGCTAATTACTAATTAACAATTGTAGACACAAATGAAGGATCTTGGGGCGCAATCCAATGCTACAGATGAAGAAATTATCACACAGGTTCTAGGGCCTGAGCGACCTGGTCGTGTTCGAACATACGGATTGGGTCCTTCTCCGACAGATGTCTTTGGAGGTGGATATAGGCAATCGTAAGAACAAACTCGTATCATCCAAATGCAAGTCCAAGAGCAACTTAACCAATATAAAGCACAAATGGAGATGCAAATGAAAGAGATGATGGATGCTATGCTTAATCAACAGAAAGTACAAATGGAGATGCAAGGCACAATCAAAGCTCAACAAGCACGAATAGAGCACTTGGAGTCTCAACAGGCCATGGGTGGGCCTGTTGCACCAGCTGCTACACATGTGCATTCACAACAACAATCCCATGCATACACCTCATCGTTTAATTGTCATCGTTCGTCCGAGGAAGTGAGTAAATAGTTAATTATGAAATTTTCATATGACATTTTATTCATGTTATTTGTTCTTATCAAATGCAGGTTCACATATCAAAGAAAGAAAAGAAGAAGAAGAAGAAGAAGTAGATATGACAAACTCAGGTTCATTCTAAACCATTCTAGTTGGATTGCTTTCTCCTTCTCACTTATTTGTTGAATTTGAAAATATAAAGCATTGGAGAAGAGGGGAATTTTTAAAAGATTTTGATGAAAGGATTGGAGTAGTTTATATCAAATCTAGTTTTTTACTCAAATTTTGAATAAATTTTGATGAAAAATTGGTGAAGGGTTTTAGATGCTCTAACAGAAGTTCTATTTACAGAGGCACTTGCTGGATATGATGTCTTTTATTGATCCACTTCCCCCATTCAGAATGAAGCAGTGGCAAGTGATTGTTCTTTTGTTTTTTGATGCTCTCTCTGTTTCAAGAATTCCAGCACTTACTCCACATATGACAAGTCGCAGGGCATTGCTTCGCAAGGTGAGGTTACTACAAAATTTAATCTGATTTAATTTTTTGTGAACATAGGCCATCTTTGATTCCACAAGACTATTAGTGAGATATCAATAATCTAATCAAAGTAGTGTGGTATTCACAATCACACCCCTACCCCATTACAAATAATTCTACAAATTTGTTGGATTAATTATCCATTGGATTGATAATCCTAAAACAAAATGTCAAAACAAACATAGCATAATTGGACCAACGGATTAATAATCCCAATCCCATGCTCTAATCCTTCCAATCAAACATGCCAATATAGTATACACATACGTTCATGCACATCTCCATGGATCTTGGAATTTCATTTGGAAGCCTAATGTGGAGCAAGCCAAGTCCTTCATGGAGAAAAAGCTTAATTCAGTGATAATGTTTTAGGCACATGTTAACCATTATATTATTGTTTGTGCATTTAGATTGAGAAATGCCTTGTTTCTGGGTTACTTCGGATCTGTTATTATCTTGATTGTACATTTGGATCACAATGACTGCTGTATTAGCGAGTGTGCTATTAGAAGTAGAGACTCACTGGGCCCTAAACTATTTTTATTTTTATTTTTTATAAGTGGTTAATAAAAATTAATGCTTATTCATTGTCTACCAGTTGTTTCAAGACCTTTTAGTTTTACTCTTTGGAAAAGGTAAATATTTGTGGTTTGGAGTTATTGTTTTATTTCCTAATCTTGATAATGTTTGTTGGGCTGAATGTTAAAGTCAAGTTCACATGTGTATCTGATATTAGTTCATTTCATGTTATAATAATCCTGATAATGTTTGTTGGGCTGAATGTTAAAGTCAAGTTCACATGTGTATCTGATATTAGTTCATTTCATGTTATAATAATCCTGATAATGTTTGTTGGGCTGAATGTTAAAGTCAAGTTCACATGTGTATCTGATATTAGTTCATTTCATGTTATAATAATCCTGATAATGTTTGTTGGGCTGAATGTTAAAGTCAAGTTCACACGTGTATCTGATATTAGTTCATTTCATGTTATAATAATCCTGATAATGTTTGTTGGGCTGAATGTTAAAGTCAAGTTCACACGTGTATCTGATATTAGTTCATTTCATGTTATAATAATCCTGATAATGTTTGTTGGGCTGAATGTTAAAGTCAAGTTCACACGTGTATCTGATATTAGTTCATTTCATGTTATAATAATCCTGATAATGTTTGTTGGGCTGAATGTTAAAGTCAAGTTCACATGTGTATCTGATATTAGTTCATTTCATGTTATAATAATCCTGATAATGTTTGTTGGGCTGAATGTTAAAGTCAAGTTCACACGTGTATCTGATATTAGTTCATTTCATGTTATAATAATCCTGATAATGTTTGTTGGGCTGAATGTTAAAGTCAAGTTCACACGTGTATCTGATATTAGTTCATTTCATGTTATAATAATCCTGATAATGTTTGTTGGGCTGAATGTTAAAGTCAAGTTCACACGTGTATCTGATATTAGTTCATTTCATGTTATAATAATCCTGATAATGTTTGTTGGGCTGAATGTTAAAGTCAAGTTCACATGTGTATCTGATATTAGTTCATTTCATGTTATAATAATCCTGATAATGTTTGTTGGGCTGAATGTTAAAGTCAAGTTCACACGTGTATCTGATATTAGTTCATTTCATGTCTTAATAATCACAAGTTGCTCTATGAATTGGAATACCAGTTGAGTGATTGATGCATTCTCAAGGTTACAACTTGTTACCTTTTCATATTGTTAGGCTTGACAAAAGCTTTGATTAAATGTAAGAAATTGACAGATTATCCTGCAACCATTGTTGTCTCCCACTTCCGTTTATACCATTTATCCACTGTGAAGAAAGGAAGTAATCTCCTGTTGTTTTGCTGTCAAGTTTATATATATATTGGTAAATTAGAAGTTCATTCAAACCAAAGCAAACCAGGTGCAAAAACAACCTGGGGGCATACCCCCTGGCCATCAAGCAAAAGCAAACCAAAAATGATAACAAAACATAGTGACTATCACTAGGTTTTTCATAGCCCACTGGCAAACAAATATCTACTTCAAAAATACCTCACTAGGGGGAAACAGATTGCTCAGAATTACAAGAGATGTTAACTACAAAAACAGAGTGGGATTAAGAATTCTAGTAGAGATATTCCAAACCAAACAAAGGTGTCAATTACTCGAGTATTTTTTTAGTTCTGTAAAAAGGCCAAAAACCGAAGCATAATAGGCTACCAAAACATGCAAGAAATGGGGACCAAAGAGGGATATAAAGGCAAGTATAGCATGGAGGTCCCAAACAGTGTTGAGCCCTTCTTCAATGTTGAAGAGGGGCTCAAAATAAGCCTATTTTTAGTTCTGTAAAATGCCCAAAAATGGAAGCATAATGGGCTTCCAAAGCATGCAAGAAAATGGCATTCAAGGAGGATATTGAAGCAAGTGCAATATGGGGGGCTCAAACAGGGTTGAGCCCTTAAGAAAAAGTGAAAAAGAGCTCAAAAGAAGGCCACTTTCAGTTATGGTCGGAGCTCAAAGCAAAAAGCATATATTGCTAAGAAATGTTGCAAAAATAAGCTCAAAAAATGGGGAAATGGCAACTCACCCTTGTAGACCAATCTTTGGTTGCTTCTTGGACCAAGTTGCAGCACCTTTAGCCTCTGAGAAGCCCTCCTTGTTGCTGGAAATGGAGTGGTGGTGGTGGTGCTTGGTGGTGATGAAGAAATGGGGTAGAACTTAGGAGTTTTTGAGAAAATGAGAGAGATAGAGGGAGATTTGGATGCCTATGCTTGAAGCCAATTTTTCTAACCCCCTCAACAGATGTTGGCAGCTGGTTATATGGACAAAAAGGAGGGAGAAAAGGAGGGGCAAAGGTGGGGGAAAAAGGAGGCAAGTTTTCCCCCAAAAAATATCCCCCGGATACAGATATTTTCTGGGGGAAACAGCTATACAGCTGTAAAGTACCAGGCATAAGGAACATGGCCGGCCATCTTTTGGGCTTGCAGGTGGCCGGCCGGCCACCTCCCCTAGCCAGCCGGCTAGGGGTCAAAAAGGTCAAGTTCACTTAGTGGCCGGCCACCACAAAAAGGTGGCCTCCCAGGTCCCCTCATCACGACCTTGTGGTTCGAATTTGGAAATTGTAAAACAGGAGAGAGAATAGGCCATTTTTAGGAGGGGTTCAAAAGGGTCAATAAACATTAGTGGCCGGCCACCAACGTTTAGGGTCCTCCCATGTGTGTACAACACAAATATGTGGTTTGGGGTTGAAGAAAGTGGCCCCAAGGTGTTCAACATTAGCTCGGAAGCGCGAAAAACGGGTGTCGGAGGATGAAAATGGAATATAACTGGTTGCTAAGATAATTGCTGGCCTCCCACCCTCCAGTGACCTTCCTGGTGATGAAACAGAGGCACCTGCCAAAAATGAACGAAAACCGATGCAAAACGAATGCTCGGGGGCCAAAACACGCAGTTCGGGGTCCCGAAAATGGGCTGTTAAGCACCGAAAGTGGCGTTCGGCCACGAAGTGGGTTTCTCAGACCCCAGTGTCCCTCAAAAGGGAGTTTATTCATGGTTTTGGTTCATATTCTGTTATGCTATGACAAACTCTTCAGGTTTTGGTTCATTTTATTCATGGTTTTGGTTCATATTCTGTTATGCTATGACAAACTCTTCAGGTTTTGGTTCATTTTATTCATGGTTTTGGTTCATATTCTGTTATGCTATGACAAACTCTTCAGGTTTTGGTTCATTTTATTCATGGTTTTGGTTCATATTCTGTTATGCTATGACAAACTCTTCAGGTTTTGGTTCATTTTATTCATGGTTTTGGTTCATATTCTGTTATGCTATGACAAACTCTTCAGGTTTTGGTTCATTTTATTCATGGTTTTGGTTCATATTCTGTTATGCTATGACAAACTCTTCAGGTTTTGGTTCATTTTATTCATGGTTTTGGTTCATATTCTGTTATGCTATGACAAACTCTTCAGGTTTTGGTTCATTTTATTCATGGTTTTGGTTCATATTCTGTTATGCTATGACAAACTCTTCAGGTTTTGGTTCATTTTATTCATGGTTTTGGTTCATATTCTGTTATGCTATGACAAACTCTTCAGGTTTTGGTTCATTTTATTCATGGTTTTGGTTCATATTCTGTTATGCTATGACAAACTCTTCAGGTTTTGGTTCATTTTATTCATGGTTTTGGTTCATATTCTGTTATGCTATGACAAACTCTTCAGGTTTTGGTTCATTTTATTCATGGTTTTGGTTCATATTCTGTTATGCTATGAAAGCTGGTCCAGTCTTCAGGTAGAAACCCATTAACCAATTTATGAACGTGTTTTTGTTTTTCCTATCCTGAAAAATATTTTCCACTTCCTCTATGAACTTTATTTTTGACAGATTTTTGTCCTATAATCCTGTTGTTTGACAGATTTTTCTTGAATTGTTTGAAACAATTCTACTTGGGGGTTTTGTTCTCTTTAGTGTTCCCTTGGTGCTGCTTGCCTGTGCAATTAGCTTTGAAACACTGCCTACAAATTGTTTTTGGTTTCATTTGGTGGTTGGGTTGTTTTACTAGTGTCAACTTATCGTTTTCAATTTAGTTTAAATAATCTAGTCCACCTGTGAATGTGTGGGTTTGGTCAGTGATTATTGAAAGTATTTGTTGTGGATTTAAACACATTGGTGTTTCCACTGATTTATTGGATGATTATACCAAGTCAATTGTCAGTAATATGCTTTGTCATTGTGCAAATTGTTTTCTTGAAAGTTGTATTTGGATCTTCAATTTTGGTGGGGTTTTGTGGAAGGGGAAAAAAAGAAAAGGGAAACAAAATGTGAATAAGATTTAGCTTACATGTTATTTACATTTCCCTTCAATTTCCTTGTGTCACGTTTCTTATTAGTTGTACATGATATTGGTGGCTAGTCCGAATTGTTTACCCCTATTGGTTATATCCTATGTTAATGGTACTTGTCATAAACATTTTAAGTCTTTGTTGTGTACTTAATGTTATTAAGAAATGCATTAGAAAATGATAATTTGTGAGGGTCAGGAAATTAAAAGGAGAGATTTAGAATGTGGGAAGTCCGTGGATATTAAATGGATTTTGAGGCAAGGTGCTCTTATCAAGTTAACAGTCACACCTAGAGCGTGGCAGGGCCGTGGCTTGTTGGGCTATGTTTGTCATTCCACTTTTGCAGTGCTCCCTTTTTTGTTTAGATTATCCATTAAACCTTTCATACTGTCATTTCTAGCTGCATTTTGTGTGAAAATATTAGTATTTGCTGGTTGATTCTCACAATTATCACTCATATGTTCTCTTTAACATTTCTGTTGTGAGATATAAGATACATTTTGTCCTAGCAGATACTATTATTCCAAAATCTAGCTCCCTTATCCCTTCCAAATTTGAGAAAAGGCACTTGCAAGATGAGTATATTTTGATGAGAATGTTATTGTGAAAAATTACTTCTGTTGCAGCCTCTAGAGGTTGAGTCTTTTAATGTTTGTTGGAATAGATGGTTTCTGCCCATGAGGAGCAAGCTCAATGGGGGATGTTCAAACAAATTGTAGGGTAATGATTCTTATAATTATTTTCTACATTATTAATCCTTAAGTTTAGGTCAAAGCAACCTTAAGTGGAACAGTTGACAGAACATAGATTTTACTGTCAATTTAACTATCAATTAAGTGTTAATTTATGTGAATTATTTGCAGATGTCATTTCCGAATCCCATGATCATTTACATGGTGCTTTGATGAATAGTGATACTTCGGTTAGGCCAGCCAAAAGACAATGCCCCAGTAGATGTGTTCTGAACATTCACTCTCCTCTTTGTTAGTCCATAGGGGTAAAAGAATGGTGGATGTTACTATTTTGGTTTCATTGTTGTTGTTACTACAATTTTACTACTACTATTTTGGTTCTGTTTTGATTACCGGGAAACCAGATGATGTATGTTTTTGCCTAAATGAACTAGATGACAGCCCTGTTGATGCTATTCTTATGTTGCTGGTGATCTTTTGATGTTCCTGTTATAGACTTGCTGCTATCGCGGTCTTATTGATGCTCTACTACTATTGTTGCTGCAGTTGATGTTAGTAGTAGTTTCTAAGGGATGTGCCTCATTTCAGTGCTCTTTTTCTTTTTCATCTTTTTTTTTTTTTTTTTTTCATACAAGAAACGATTCAAATGGAACCAAGAATAGCTTCATTTTAATAAAATATTCCCTAATTTCAATTAATGGAAGAAAAAAAAAATTCCCTACTAAGCTAACAAGAAAAAAAAAACCAACATATCATTCAAAATGGTATTTTATTTCATATTTTTGCATCAGCAGCAGGCCCCCTCACCCAAAAAAAAAAAAAAGGTGGCGTTTTTTCAAAAACACCACTAAATGATATCATTGTGACGTCACACGTTAATTTGGGACGGAGGGTGAGACGGTCGTCAAAGATTTTGCGGCGTTTTAAGAAACGCCGTTGTAGACACCCCATTTTTGACCGACCATAAGACTCAGTCGTCACTGATTGAGCGCTTGGTGATTTTGCATATTGTGCTAGTTCTGAAGTTTTAGAGTCTCGGCTGTGAGCCTTGCCTCCGGACTTCGAGGCTCTTTTGTGCTTTGGCTCGATTTGCGAACCGGGTTCCGTTTTCTCTGTTTTCTCTTCCCGAAGGGAGGGAGAGGTCTCGTAGACCACCTCTCAGTGGCCGTAGGCTACGTTTTGTGGTTGTAGGCCATTTTTCCCGTTTGGAGCCCGGTTTCTGGTTTTTCGGAGCCGTCGGCCGTGTGCCTCGGTTCGGAACCGCTTAACCACCTCCGTTTGCTCCGGTTTTTGGCACACACCTTATTTCCTCCCTTTTTAGGGACACTGTGATCTAAGAGACTAACTTAGTGGTCGAACACCACCTCCGGTGCTTAATAGTCAGTTTTTGAGGCCCCGGGCCGCGCGTTTTGGCCCCCGAACCTTCGTTTTGCATCAGTTTGGGTTCATTTTTGGCAGAGACCTTATTTTCATTGTTAGGGAGGTTGTAGAAGGGTGGGAGGCCAGCAATTGTTCTGAAAACCAGCTTTATTCCTTCATCGCTCTTCATTGCCCGTTTTCTTCACTAGAAAGCTAACTTTTTCCATTCCCGGGCCACTTTTTCTGACTTTCCACCACACCATTGTGTTGTA